CTAAAAAAAAAAAAAAAAATATATATATATATATATATATATATATATATATGTACATACACACACACACATATATATATATCCCAGCACATTCATTATCAAATAAAACACTGGGTAGTAACGTTTTATCAAACATTTAAGAACAATTGTTTTCTGATAATACTCTCACATCTTCCCCAGGTACCATTTCCTCTTTATTTCTTTTGGTCAAACTTTCTTTAAAGAATTGTTTATTCTCACTGCTTCAATTTCTCTCACCTTCTACTTAAGTTTCAACCCGTGCCAATCTGGCTTCTGCCCATCAGTCCATCTAAATCATCAATGACCTCCATGTCACTAAATCCAATAGAAAATTTTCAGTACTCATCTTCCTTGACACCATATTTCAATTGCCATGTTTTATTATATTTTCATTGGCTGAGGTTTGACTGCTTTTGTGCTTTTAGAAGTACAAAAGATACTTATTAATCTTGTCAAATCATTCTAAAGATACAAATATTCGTTGATGAATATGTCAACTCAATCACCTTAACAAAAGTTTCATTTAACAAAAAACTTGCCATTAAAACTAAATTTAATATATATTTAAAAAATGCCAAAAATAGAATTTGAATTGTCTATTTTAAATATAAGAGAAAAAGCCAGATTCCCCAAATTTTGACAAACTATAGTAATACTGAACAATTACCTTTAGAAAATCCCAATTTTTGGGTAACCGTTCTTGCAATTTTAGATGTTGTTGCATCACTATAAAGATAGACTTCATCCACACTGTGCCAGTCCACGTGGTTTCGACTTAACTTGAAACTATGAATAGCTGTTGCAAAAAAAGGAAGAATGAATTTGAAGGTCTCCAAAACAAATTTCATTTGTGAAAAATTATAATACTCAGATTTCTGAATCAATATTATATAACAACTTAGATATGTAACTCAGTTCAATAAAATACTATTTCATTTAAAAAATTATGGATATTGTGAAGTAATGAATAGGGACTTGATTTGATTATAACTCTTCTACAGAGCATGGCAACTTGTTAAAATGACATGAGGTAACAATCTTAAGTGATCATAACTGTAACCTCTAATATGTAGTTAACATGTATTTTGAGGATTAAAGAACTGCCTTCCCAGGTAACGTGACTGATTGTTCCTAAGGTCTAAGAAATATATACTATTTTGAAAGTCCTTCCATTTCTTCAGCTGGTTTTACTGAAAATATTGAAAGATCCACAAAAAATTTTACTCAGTGTAAGACAAATGAGGACTCTGAGGAAAAAAATTTACCTTTAAACCGGGATGAGAATCATCTATTGCAAAATAAGGTATTTTTTAAATGGATAGTAATACCACCGGGTATTGCTCAACATAGCAGAAATTCAAAGTTGAAATATGTTTTAATAATAAAAATTAAGGAAATGTTTTTGTGCTATGATGCTCAAATCAGTATGGTTTTACATTTCTGTAACTGAGGTATGCCTGGTGAAAATGAGGTCTTAAAAAAAAAAAATCCAAACTATATTCCTCAGTAATTTCTAAGTTCTGTGAGGTATAAAGACTGTCTTGATCATTTTTCCTAGCACCAAAAAGAATGTCCCAGCACAGTGCCTGGCACATACCATAAATTCAGTAATGTTTGTGGAAGCAATGAATTGAAAAAATTGACTTAATATATCCATCTATTCATACTTTGATAATTCTTACATTCTGAAGGTCTTGAGCTTTTTCATTATAATTCTGAGTTATAGGTAGGAAATATATCCATCCTCAGAAAACCAGCCACCTTCAAATCACTGTGTCTGATTTATTTTTTAAAATCCTTTTGAGATAAAATACTATCCCCCATTTTATGTATAATGACACAGAGGTATACTGAGTGACTTGCCAGAAAGCTAGTTACTTGGCAGAATCTAACTCTTCTGATTTGAAGATAGATCGACAATAAATTCAAGCTAAATATAAACAGATAAAGTCCTGGTCAATATCTAAGATCTTAAAACCTTTTTTTGTTTTGTTTTGGTTTTTTTTTAGAGACAAGGTCTCATTCTGTCACCCAAACTGGAGCGCAGTGGTGGGATCATAGCTCACTGCAGCCTTGAATTCCTGGGCTCAAGAGATTCTCCATCTCAGTCTCCCAAATAGCTGGGACTACAACTTTACCACTGCACCTGGCTAAGTTCTTTCTTTCCTTTTTTTAAGAGACAAGGTCTCACTATGTTGCCCAGGCTGGACTTGAACTACCAGGCTAAAATGATCCTCTTGCATTGACCTCCCAAAGTGTGGGATTACAGGTGTGAGCCACTATCCCACCCTTATAAGACATTTTTATGAAAATTGATTCCCTACTAGAATACAAAGTACATTATGAGAAGATATACTTCTTAGTTATATTACCAATGAAATTTCAAAAATTTATGAAAAGCCAATTTATATTTTACTTCCCTGACAGGACAAATTACTAACATTGTACAGAAAGTCAAGATTCAACTAATATAAGAAACATAAAAAATATCTTCAGTTCCAAAGAAAATAATGTACCAAGTCAGCTTTCCAAATAAAATAACATTTTATAAATTAAAAGAAAAATCTTTTGCAAGGGCTTAACACTTATTTGCTTTTCTAATTCCATATCTGATCCAAGTCACTACTTTAAGTTTTTTAATCGAATGTTTCTATATTTTAATTAAAATAGTTTTGAGCAACATATGCTTCAAACATTGAAACTATGAGACCAAGTTATTTAGAGAACAGTGTTAAGTTGGCAAAATTTTGTTCCTTCTTAAATCATCCACATACTGTCTTAAATTAAAACATCCTGATACTGGCTAACTCCTGTTACTGGACTATACACACAGTACGCAAATGTCTATACACAGCAAATGTCTATATACAACAAAATAGCACTAAGCAAACTAGTACAATGAACACATTTCTTAAAACTAGTGATTTCTATGCTTTAAACACAACTGGGTGCTACAGGCCAGGAATATAACTACAGGGAGAAATGAAACTACAATTACTGTACCTTGGGAACGCTTTCGTTTAAGACCTGCCGCATCTGTACTCTCCTTATATCCTCTCCATTTGAACAGAGAAGGGAGGGAGAAGGGAGGGAGGTGGTAGACAACTAAGAAAGCAAAAACACTGAGCTTCAAAGTAAATTTTAAATGAGGTTTGCCATTTTGCCTTTTTGTTTTAGTATTCGCTTTAAAAAATGAGTTGTATTTGATAAACATTATTCTAAATGCTTTATATAATTTCTATTGAGCATCAGTAAAGTAAAATATTCATTTAATGTTTATCAAATAGACACTACTTTTATTTTACTGAAAGAAAAAAGGCAAATGATATATATTCATGTATTAGTTAAAGACAACTATGTGATTATCATATTTAATGTCTGTGCACAGATAGAATAAAAAAACAGAACACAGTATTTTGAATACTAATAATACTAATAAACTCCATCTTTATAATACTAAAGTTATTTACTCTTACCAAATGTGTGACTCTGCTATAGCTAACAGTTAATGTACAAATTGAGAATGCAATAAATAACATTTTAAATATCGAATGCAACTTTCCTGAGACAATTCCACAGTAGACATTCCATTAGATGTTTCCTATCACTGAAGTACAAAAATAAAAATAAATTAACAAAATGTTCATTTCACAACTCTGTTCAAGTTGTCAAAAGACTTTAAAAAATAAAATCTTTACAAAAAATAATTTTTTGGAGAGATGTATTAAGGATACAATAATAAAAAAAAATCATTAGTAAAAATGTATGCTGTAACATCTTGTAAACATGAAACAGAATAAAGAGTAAAGTCCAGGTACAGACTTGATATTTGGCAAAACAGTAGATAATCCCAAAGTCAAAAGTTTTCCTGTCTAAATTTGCTCATTATATATCAATTTCTTGCATTGGTGGTATAGTGGTGAGCACAGTTGCCTTCCAATTTCTTTATATTTAAAGTAAACAATTATTTTTATTTTTTTTAAATTTATTTTTTGAGTTGGAGTCTCACTCTTTCGCCCAGGCTGGAGTGCAGTGGCACACTCATGGCCATTGCAGCCTCAACCTGCTGGGCTCAGGTGATCCTTCTGCCTCAGCCCTCCAAGTCACTGGAACCACAGACATGTGCCACCATGCCCAACTAATTTTTTTATTTATTGTAGAGATGAGGTCTCTTCAAGTTGCCCAGGCTGGTCTCAAACCTCTGGACTTAGGCAATTCTCTCACTTCTGCCTCCCAAAGTGTTGGGTTTATAGGTGTAAGCCACTGTACTCAGCTAGCAATTATTTTTAAAAGTCCACTTGAATGTGAACGTTACAAATCAGTTTATTTCAATTCAGTGAATTACAGAAGCTTTATGATTTAGTTCAAATATATGTTCTAATACATTCAATTTTCATCCCTACTCCCTTCTTCATTAATGTGACACTCAAAGGTTAAATACTGCTCAAACTAAAAAAGACTTAATTCTTGTTTTATAGCACTAGAAATATAGCAAACCTGTCGTATATGCAAAGATTTGTGAAATAACAGAGAAATGCTTACAACGCAATGAATAATTATAGCTATATGTAATTAGATGGCTATAAAAACTACGGACTAGAACTAAAAGCTAGGTTGTTACATCCGGATGATGAAAACATTTCATTGTCATAGAGAAGTGGAAAATGACAATTGAAGCAACTTTCTTCACTGAAAATGTTTCTTCTTTCATGTGCCTTCTGGTCTGTTACTGAGGAGCAATGAACCACTTAGACCAAGAAATAAGTTTTAAACAATAAAAATCATTAGGAAAAAGTTGCTGACATGTCAAAGTGGATCAAACTGATATAAACTTGAGACTTTAATACTTGAAACAAAAACTAGATTTTGTAAATCTAGTAATAAAACTTACAACATGAACAAATTCCACATATACTAAAAGAGAACTCAGTGGACCTTTTGATTACATTTTTAAATTATGCACACACTTTCAGGAAACTAAAGATACATAAATGAACTCTTTCTTTTCTAAAATAGTATAATTTAAGGATTTAAAAAAGACACATACCCAAATATGAAAAAAAAGAAAAAAATAACGTTTTTACCCTCAAAGCAGAGAATGATATTTAAAACAATTTCACAAAATTACATAACGTGGTTCTTTACTTTCTTCTCAAATTTAATTCTTATTTTCATTTGAAAGTCATGTGATTTATTTAATACACATCCCATAGCATAGGGAGTTTAATTTTTTTCAATCCAAAGCAAGAATTAGGGCTACAACTGTAAGTACAATAGAGGAAAAAAGTATTTACTATCAATCCAAACAGGGATTCACTGTTAAAGAAAATTCAAGTGAAAGAACTATTTAATTTTTTCTTTTTTTAAAAAAATAAAGTTTTAAAAATTCTTATATGATATCAGCAAAAGTATGCATAAACCCACAACTACAAATGCTAACATTTAACAAAAACATTCTTTTATTTGTTAAAGTCTTACGTAGCAATGAAAATTTTAAAATACTAAAAACATTTCTAATACATTTCTTTACTAATTCACCTCCTAAAGAAATTTTCTTTATTATATAGTTCTAAAAGTAAGAGAGTGACATACTTATCCCTAGAACAGAAAAACTCCCTAACCTTTCCCTTTATGGAAGCTGGTAACCTGAAAAACTCCAGCTCCACGCAAGCAGCCTTGCACATCTCAAGTCTGCCAACTATCATGAGAAAACTCCTGGCAATCTTTCTTGGACCTCAGAGAGATTAAGTTAGATCAATTTATACAAATTAAATAATAACTAAAAGCTTAAAAAAA